GTTCAAAATAAAAATAAAAATATAACAGACAATAGCAAAGTAAATATATTTGCCTGCATTTTAACCTTATTCTCCAAGTTAAAGTATTTCCCTTATAGGCCAACTTTTTGGTATCAACCATTATTTCAAATTCCTTCTACTATCTCCTCTTCAACTCTGTTAGAGTTGTATGTCAAATTGAAGAATTTTACTGATTGTCTTTATTTACTTGATGGTTGTTTCGATTCACTTCAAAAGCTTTCTGTTGATATTTATCAAATATTGTCTCCACAGATAATAATTGATAACAAAGTAAATTGTACAATTTAATATCTAATATATTCAAATAAATTGTTTTATTTTTTTTAGAAACAATTATTCAACCTAAAACTTTTTTTGCTCTATTCTGAACAAGATACAGATAAGTATAATGAATTGATTGTGCCACTTCTACATCGAATGATCAATCTAGAAGAACTCGATATACGTCTTGTTGTGTATTGTAAGAAAAGATTTATTGATGGTTATGATTTGAAATACAATATTATTAGTAATTTATTACAATTAAATAAATTTGTATTTATTAACACACGATCACGTCTGCCTCTAAATGATCAAGTTTATTTATCATCAAATGAAGATTGTCAACTTTCATTCAATGGTTTTAAAAATAATAAAATTATTTCATGTATTGATTATTTCCCAGATCGTAAAGAAGGTCAATGTTATATTTATTCATATCATATCAAGTAAAATATTATAAATACATTACAAATAATTTCTCATACGGATTATTTAAACATGTTTGTGAAGTCTCATTATCCTTTTGAACATGAATTCTTTGAGAAAATTGCTAAATCTTTCCCATTCATGGAACAACTAACTGTAAACAATAATAAACCACAGAAGAACAAATTTGATGAACAATCAAAAGATGATAATCGACATTTATCAGTTATTCAATATCCTTATCTTAGTGTAGTTGATTTGTTTCACGCTCATGATAATTATGTGGAGCAATTTCTATTGGATATCAAAATGTGTTTAACAACA